TCACAAAAGTTCGTCCCGCTACCACCAAAATATGACAAGTCATTTTTTTCCACCTAGTAAGCATACAAAACATAACAAGTCATTTTTTGGCGCCTAGTAAGCATACAAAATCTGATAGATTGTCTTTTAACGCGTATTAGGCATCCGAAATATGACTTTTCGGCTTCCAATGCGTAGTAGGCGCCCCAAATATGATACCTTACCTCTTGAAGTCCAATGACTGTCAAAACTCGAACGTGATCCACCGTGGAGAATCTACCCAAGTGCTAGCGCTAGCCTTGACTTTGATAGTGAATGATGTCAGATTTGACATTTCGAGGATCTCCACCTACTTACCTACCAGTCTAGCTTCCTACCTGCTTTCTTCCTCCCTATCTGCCTACATTCCTCTCGATATCAACCTCAATACCTACCTCCTACCAGCAGCGATTCCTACATCCTACCAGCAGGGATGCCTACCTCCTACCAGCAGCGATGTCTGGATACGTATTTACCTACCTCTGCATTTTGATACCTCTACAGAAACTGCTACAGGCTGCTAAATGACATGAAATCAGCAACAAATCGACGCCCAAAACAACGCCAAAATATCGACTAATTACCCCAAGTCGACACCTAAATCAGCATCAAATTTATGCTCAAATATACGCTCAAATCGACGACTGATGGCGCATGAAATCAACATCAATTAAGCTCCTAATAGGTAGGTAGATAAGCCGGCAGGTGCGGAGGTAGGCAGGTCAGTAGGCAGGCACGGGGGTGGGCAGGTAGCTGCGGGAATAAGCAGGTGGGTGCGGGATAGGCAGGTAGACAGCACTGGCATTCGGAGTTCGGCGGTGCGGAAGTAGGTAGGGAACTAGCAGACATTTACGTACAATTAGGTACTAGTAGACAGATAGACAGTTATAAGTCAATTACGTGGAAACCATGTCCTAGTCAATGTACCTTTTGCTGAGTGATCTCATACTCTTCGCAAATGCTACTAGCGAAACCCATTAACTGGGCCAAACATACCAGCATGCAGATTACATCAGACGGCATTAGATAGTGTTAGACACCAAAAGACGAATTTGCATCTGAACCTGTCGCAACGATGTCTTTTGGCAAAGAGGTGCACTGGCTCCATTCCGGTATTCCCCGGCATTAGTCTACAGGTAAGGACAACAGCAAACCCGTAACCTCCGCCAGACGCTCTGGACGCTCCAGGCGTCCTGGACGCCCGGTAAACAAACTGCCTCTCCAGAGAAGCAAGGAACGTTCCTGGTGCCTCCTGGCGAATAGCATTCCGCCCTGGCGAGCACCAGTTTATCCTGCGCCCCCAGGCATGCACTACTGCAGCTAGTGCGTCCCGAGAGCAATACGCTCACCCTGACGGGGTGAGCTCGCGCCTGACGCTATCTAGGACGTGTCCTCCTTCCCGGACGCTCTCGCGACGGAATGCTTTTACTCCTGACGCTATCCCGACAGAATGCTCTCTCGCCTGACGCTATCCCGACTAAAGGCTCTCTTGCGTGATTCTCTCCCGATGGAATGCTCTCTCGCCTGACGTTCACGCGACGGAATGCTCTCTCGCCTGAGACTACTACCTATCTCCTGGGCGCTCCTAGAGCTCTCTGACGACTCCTGTGCATATCGCTAATGTTTCTGGAGCACTCCCGACTGCTCCCGCGACGCCCGACGCACCGCATTTTACCTTTCAGCGCCCTGTTTTTATCAGGCATATTACTGTTTGCTTTAGTAGGCACTGGTTTGCAGAGCATCCAGAACCGTAATTCTATTACTAAATACTAACACTACAAAGGTCTTGAAATCGCTAATCGGATATAATATAGGTATATAGGTATCTCCCCAAAGCACTCGCCGCTGCTCTCCAAAGCACTCGCCGGTGCGCTATAGATCATCTTCCTCCTCGCCTTCCTCGCGATCCTCCTCTTCATCCCTCCCCTCGCCTTCATCTTCCGCTTCAATGCCCCGAAGTTGAGCGTGAACCACCTCTTCCTGGCCGTTACCGTTGTCGGAACCAGAGATATCCCCTGGAGCACTCGGGTGCGCTCTTCGAGCATTCCGGAATGCTGTAAGATCTGCCGCTAACGCTTCATCGTCCTCGCTGAATCCTTCTTCGGGTATCACCTCGATAGTGATGCCCTTCTTCTCTCGTATCTATCAAGGTTAGCCTCCGTATTTAGAAAAGCACCTCACCATTGTAGCATCCATCCTTATAGCACACCTTTTCCCGGAGGTTATCCTTGATCACCTCAAACGTTACCTCCTGGTTCTGCCTACTCCTCCCCTTCCATGTATTGCTCATCCTGTTGAACGTTTCTACTCGTATTCAATGTCAGCGTAGAGATACACTATAGCCTTGGGAGCGCCCGTCACTGCTCTCAAAGCACTCGCTATAGCTGTAAGGGGATGTGAGAGGATCGGGGATGCTTACTAACAACACTCTCATTCTGTGACTGGAAATGGTCAGGCTTCACGTATGTTCCAGCTGACCATGCCCGAATCCCATGCCAAATAGCAGTCAATATCAGGCAAATAAAGGTAGGGGTAATCCGTTCAAGGAACTCGGGGTCTTTCACCCCTCGCATCCTGACCCCATCAAAGTATTTATAGTACAATATGTCGATAATTTCTGGTGCAAGAAACCATAGACGGTAGGTCTAGTATCTGTTAGCAGCATTCGCGAGTGCTCTCCAAGCATTCCGGGTGTCCGGGTGCTCTCCGAGCATTAACACCCGAGTGCTCTATTAGCACCCCCGGATGCTCTCTAAGAATTGATCATACCTCATAATGCTGCGCAGGACTCAAGAAGCGATCATTCTTCAAAAGATACTCTACTTGAGCAGCCTTCGCCTCAGGACTAGAGAGCTTTCCAAGCCCATAGATGGTCGAATCCGCCAGGTGCCCTTTAACCTCGTGCATCAAGTGCAAACGAACTCGGGAGTGTAGACTTCTTACCTATCGTTGTCAATTATGACTCCAGAGCACTGGTCAACGTTTCAAGAGCATTCACCTGTTTGATAACAACCTCGTCGAGATCTACCGTACATCCCACCCTCCGACTGGCAGCTGCCCACATGTTTACTCCCAGGACCGAAAGCCTCGCTGCAGGTGGAAAAGGCTCATGTAGAAGAGTATGCTTCCCGATTAACACGCTACACTCCTTCTCAATCCTCTGAGCCTGCATTGAGAGCACGTTTACACTCCTCGAGCTAGGTAATAGGGATCTCTGAGATAGGTTGCTCGCATGAATGTTAACTATGCTCTCAAAGCGGTTGTCAGTGCTATCGGGAATACTACTAACCTCGCTTTCTACTATAGGAGCATTTCCTTCCCTAATTGACGACGAAAGCTGTGCAATATCGTAGACTCTTGGTTGTGCTTCTGGTAAATATACCTGAGGGCTTGAGGGAATCCGTGGACTGCTCATAGAGCTCTCGCCAATGCCCTCAAGAGGCGGGGAGGAACGATAAGGATGGTAAATGGGTGAGGAATCGCCGTACCTCGAACGCATCGAGGAAAGATCGATATGCCGTGTAGAAGAGCCATAGTCAATATCGCGCGAATAAACAGGTACAGAAGAAGGCATGGACTGTGAGGATATCGGAGGTGCTCTCTGAGATGCCGGGAATGCTCCCTGAGATGCCTCCTGGCTGGTTACCGGAGTGGGTCTGTGGGATACGGTGGGTGCCCACTGGGATGCATTCTGTCTGGCTGCCGAGGTGGGAGCTGCTCTCCGTACTACCTTTGCACCCAGACATTTTCCCCTCTGAAACGTTAGCGTCTTGACCTTAACATTAATGGGTGGGATGGAGTCGAACCTGTACCACATCCACCGACACGTCAGAGGAAGCAATAACCTCCGCTACCGCTCCGGTTGGTCTCCTCCGAGCATTGTCCAGTGCTCTGGCAGTAGTCGGCTGTACTGTACGAGGCCTCTTCCCCGTACCCGGGGATCTCTGCTGGGTGGAAGCTTGGGATTCTTGTTCCACGTCGTCCAGATTCTCTTCAGAGCTCTCCTGGGCGTTCTCTGGGGAGTCCTCGTACTCTGAGTGGCTGGTATCGGCGGTTTCCTCCACCTCTTGCACTTCAACGCTGCCAGTATTGCCATCGGGGAGATGGAATTCTACCCTTCTAGGGCTGCTTGTCCCAGTCAATGTGTCGGTAGAACGGAAAAGCCCTTTACGCGCTATTGAGGCAGTGGTCGACTGACTGCTCCGAGTTCTGGTCGATTGACTACTCCGACTGTTAGTTGACAGTGCGGTCAATGCTCGGAATGATATTTCAGACCCGTCAGTCTGTGAATCATCAAGCTCTTCGGGTGGTACTGGGAGTCGTAGTCGCTTTGTGGAAAGAGGTGTAGAACCTGCGGATCGCTTGTTGAGAGGCATTCTGCTTGCTTGCAGGAGTATCCAATGTGCTCTAGGAGCATTCTTCTGCGTGTTTTGATTAGAAATCAACGCTTGGCAACAGAGTTTTCGTCGCCAAGCTAGAAGAATTTTCACCACTAACCTCCTATGGTATCGATCCGCTCCACCGCATCCCGGTCCGCTCACCCGCATCCGAGTCATTTCTAATCACTCGTTTTACTGCACTTTCTAAAGCGATAACGAGTGCTCTGAGAGCAATGTAGAAGTTTGAGCCGATTGCAATTCAATTAAGAAGAAATGGAAGAACGTAATCAAATCTAATCAAATCTAATCTAATCTAATATAAGAAAATATAAAACGATGAAACCCATCTATTCATATAAAGAGATCTAGACATCAAATAGCACCGAACCAAATCCCAGGAGCACTGGCCAGTGCTAAGAAAACAAGACATACCGCTATTCAAAGGTAAGCAATCGTTGAGCAGAAAGAGAGACGAGAGATTATACCAAAGAAGAGTAGTGATGCCAATAGCACTTGCAAGTGCTCAGAAAACAATACACACCCCTATCCAGAGGTAAGCATTCGTTGATCAGAAAGACAGACGCGAGATTATATCAAAGAAAACTAATGATGCCCGCCATCACCACCACCGCCGCCACTACCAGCACCATCACCACCACCACCACCACCACCGCCCGGAGGTCTGCCCGGAGGAGGATTACCACCGCCCGGAGGTCCGCCCGGAGGAGGATTACCACCACCACCGCCACCGCCTCCACCACCACCGCCGCCTCCTCCACTACCACCGCCTCCACCACCAGCAGCCGCGAGTGCGTCAGCAGCTCTCTTGGCTGCTATCCTGGCAGGCATCCAGATTACTCCCTGTACAAAGTTCGGGTCAGGAACCCCAACACCCAAAGGATACTTCCTCAGGTATTTGGGGTCTGAGTCGTTGATAGCATCCTGCTGTCTATCTCGACGTCTAACAAGAGTCTGGATTAGCCTTTGATTACTGGCATCAGTTCTGGGTAAATATACCCTCAGTCCTTTAGCATTGATGTGGTGGCTTCCCTCCTCGTAATCAGAGTCCTCTGCAGGAATATCGATCATGGTATAATCGTCTTCTTCGATATGAGGGAATGCCCGGTTCAGCGGGCGTGATTCAGCGCCACCCAAATTAGCACCCGCGCCTGCTCTGTAGAGCACCGCCAGTATTCTCCTAGGCCTGCCAACGCTATTCTTCAACCAATCTTCGACCTCTTCCGAATCAGTGATTTGGACTTCCATTGGCCGAACAGCATCAGCAAGCTCGCCTATTACCCAGGGCGCAGCCCCTACATCCTGGTGGGCATTCTGCGCCACGAGCGCCCAGCGCGTCCGGCACCGCCAGAGTACAACCTTCGCGCCAGGCTCCGCCGCAGGACCGTCCCACTCTCTGGTACCACCAGGAGATATGGCTCACGTCCGGAGGGCACTCGCCGATGCTCTGGTCGCCTGGGCCGCCATGAGATTCCCTCCCCCTCCGGAGATGCTGGGATGGAGTGACTCCGCCCACAGCACCTAGGAACTTTTGCTTCTTTTGATTAAGTCAGTAGTACACACGAGCACTTGCCAATGCTCTCACAGTTTTCTTGAATGCTCTCACGGCACGACGAATGCTCTCACGGCACGACGAATGCTCTCACGGCATGACAAATGTTCTCACGGCACGACGAATGTTCTCACAGCATGGCGAATGCTCCCACGGCACCGTGAATGCTCCCGCGAATGCTCCCGCGAATGCTCCCGCTAAAGCTCCCGCGAACGCTCCCGCGAACGCTCCCGTGAACGCTCCCGCGAGGGCTCCCACGAGTGCTTCCGCGAGTACTTTCGCGAGTGCTTCCACGAGTGCTTCCGCGAGTGTTTCCGTGAGTGCTCCCAGAGCACTCACCAAGGCTCACAGAGCTGAGGCATTTGTCGTACCCACCCAAGGTGAGGCAACCCTCACTTTGGCTCCTTTGGATTGATACACTGTCCTCAAAGGATAGGAAGGCCACACCAGTCCCTCAAAAGATATCTAATGTGGGTATCCTCAACGCCGCTCTACGGTCAGTCGCGGGATACTGATACGAGCACTATCCTGTATACTGGTGACGACTACCCAACCTTTGACGGACGTGTATGTTTTTGTCGATTCGTGAATGGCATAATTAGCCTTGAGGTTGAGGCCATGTTACGGCTCGTCTGAAAAGCTCAATGTCCATGCATAAGCAGCAAACATGGACTGGCATTGACCTCCTGGTGCGAGCTTGCTGGATAGCCAGACTCAGATACTTAGCGGCCGAAACTTTACCTCCTTTTTCCAATCCGCATGCATAGCAGAACGACACGAATTTTGAATTAGAGAGTCCAATTGGGTCTAACGTTCCTAGAGCACTCAAGAATGCCCTCACGGCTTTACAAGTATTCAACAAAATTCATTCCACGTACGCAAGTCTATCCTAGTATTTACCAACCAATTACCAGTCTCCACCTCAAACAAATGGGCCATTCCCAATATACTCCGAATATTAATGACCCATATCCTCTTCCTCCTCCTCCTACAAACCTTCAGGAGCCCATGTGAGCTATCAGCGATACCACGATCCTTTGCCTCGAGTAGCTCCACTATACATAGTCTATGTGCTCGCTCCCCACTGTCCCGCAGCTTGAACAAAGCCTCGACACGTAATGGTAAGCATCCCCGAAACACTCCCCACTCCTCTGAGGACGCTACCGACATCCATACCCAATCCTTTCTTATTTTCCCTTTCCTGAAAGCCGCGTTTCCCGTACACCTGATATTGTGAACCTCGTACACCTCAGGTCTTTGGAAGATTGGTATCGGAACCTGCAAACATGTGAACATCTCCACCCGTCGCTCTAAAATGCTCTCAGAGCTTCCGGCAAAGCTTTGAGGGTATCCCGTATCCTCTGCATACTCCTTTATCAGGCGATATAACGTGGTATGGCTTATTTCCAGTCCATCCGCAATATTGAAAAGTCTTTCCGATTTCGTGGAGGGGTTGCAAAGACGTTTTAGAGGTAGCCGGCCTTCTACTATCGGTCGTTCATTTGGCATTTGTCTACGATCTTCGATTGTGAAAATCTCAAGTAACTCCTTTATGTTATCTCGATGGCTCCAAAGAATGTCGTCAGTGCTCTCAGGACCTCCAACAATGTCTTTCAGATTCAGCATTCGAATCTCTAACGACAACTGCCGCCCCCATAGTCTATTATCTGCATTGCAGCATCAACCTTGTTGGATACTCCGTATGCCGCTTTTATCTGACGTACATGGGCGAGTTCGCTGATGTCGGTGGAGTACTGGGGAATGCTCCCAAAGCGCTCGACATGTTCCCGATAGTGCATTAACACGTGCAATTTGATGAAGTTGAAGTGGGACCTTTCCCGTATCTCGCGAATCTCCTCCAAACCTCGCTGAGCGCTCTGGGAGCCTGAGGTCTTCAAGGCTTTTGTCCGATCTCTCGCATCCTTAACCGTCCTCTTGTACGCCCGGAATTCTAAAAAGATATCCTTGTGCTTATGGAAATCCTCGAGATAGCTCTCCATATAATTCAGTGTGCTCGTCGTATGACTCCCATACTGCGCCATTAAGTGGAAGTCGATTAAGCCTCGTACACATTTCAATGCCTTTGCGAAGTCGCCCCTGACAGCCACCCCCGGGTTTCTCAAAGCAGCCGCGAGTGCTCCAAGAACGACCAGCCCCAGATTTCTCATCTCCTTCCCTTGTCATTGGGTTGTGGCATGATATGCCTTGTTCGGTACTGCCAGTCCAGGGTAAGGCGCAATCGAGGCCCAAGCCTTGTCAAATTCCTCCAATCGATTGTGCTTCTTCAAGAAAGCCTGAACCCACTCCATCATGTGCTTCACCATCCCTAGGTAGATATTGTGCAGAATGTGCAGTTTGTTGAGATCGCATGGATAACCCTAGGCATACCCCAGAAAGCATTGAAGAGTGTCTTTACTGATCTCACGAGAAGGTATTCCACCGGTCCCAGGTTTCCCGGGTTCTCCCTGAATAGCTTTACCCTCTCCCGGTAATCTTCATGATCGCACGTAGGGCTCCGGGGAGTGCTCCCAAGACTGTGGAATTCCACTTCGCATCTTGGACAAGAGCTAGTACTAATATTTTGTAAGTTTGAATGCTCAGGTTGATCAGCGATCCAACCCGACAACACCGGAAAGCATAGACGTTCGTACCCATCGGCGAATGCGATTAGCTCGCCTTCCTGAGAGCACTTCCGAATGCTCTGAAAGATCTCCCCAAGGGCACGATGCAGCGCCATTTGACTCTGACGTCGTAAAGCGGAATTAGTGAGTGAGTTCTTCCCGAGCTTAGGTGGAACTAGCAGTAGCCCTAGGAGAATTAACGAATGCCCGGTGGTCTTGCTCCGGACCGATGACTTGATGTTCCCGATGGTAAGATAGATTGGCCAGGCTTTCTTGTCCCCACTAAAATGTGTCAAATGTGTGCCATCTGACGCGCATATAATTGGTACCACAGTCGACCCCTCCGGTAAGGTATTCTGTCCAGAAAGCATTAGCGACTGCCTCTAGAGCACTTGTGAGGCTTACCAGACCTGCGTCTCCCACCACCAATCTCCCGTATGCATTTCCCCGTACATTCTCTCGCCAGATTCATTATGTTCTACCACTGGCGTATACACCAATAACTCCCGAAAGGCCCGTTGGCCTAGAAGATATCGCACAATTACCATTGCATCCCAGTAATAGTAAGGGATTTTCTCTCCCCCAATATCCACCTCCGAATGATGACAGCTCGCCTTTCCCAATATGTCATTCATTTCGTCCAACCTCTTTATACAACTGCGCCCAGTCCTGTAGCAGCATTCGCCACTGCTTGACGGAGCGTGTAGAAAGAAACTGTCGATATTTCCTTGTGAGGCCTTCGACAGTATGAAATAACGTGCCATTCTAAACTCGTATGCTGAGTTGAATGGGCGCCACGGGTATCGGAGAAGGTTTTGTGAGCATTCGTCGTAGTCCTCTGAGCGGTAGAGACGCTCCCCATCACCCTCGTAAATCGTTGTCGCTGCCTCATGCCTATTTGCATCTCCATCTGTCTCTTCCATCATAAAATATGATTCGGATTCCAGATCGGAATCATTATCGGGATCTTGGTCATGATAATTGATACTGTTGCTCTCCGAACTATCCGAGTCGTCATGGGCATCTGAATAGGAATCGTGAATGCCTTCCGGGCTGTCGTGAGTGTCATCGGGTGCCTCTTGATCGCGCTCCAGGAGTAAAAATTGGTTTCCCAGCCATTCATCTGCTTCAAATGGATGTGTAGTTCGAAGATGTTTATCGAAGTTCGCGGAGGAGCTGTACCGCTTGCTGCAAAAGGGGCAAGACGATTTCATTGAAGTCTCATGATGCTAGCAAAGCACTCCTGAGTGCTCTAAAAATTTGGTTTCTGCCAAGGCCGAGGAGGCTCTTTCCTGCAGGTGCTGCTGCAGAGTGCTCGAATGATTTGATTTGTCAGCCAATGAGGCTCCTCTCACCTGCACCCCGGTCGGCAAGGCTGATTTTCTATACGAGTCTGATGTCATACATCACCAACCTAATACAAACATCAACACCAACACGAAGAAACACCCACCACCCCAATCAGGCGGCCAGTTATGCTAGATTCTATCGCCCTGAGCATCTGCACTCTCTCCCTGAGCACTCGCGGAGTCTCTTCAGATCGAGACAGTGTTCTCAGCGCCAAATTCAACACTAATATCGACTACGAGCTCAAAGAATACATTCTCTCCGAATCAGCTTCCTAGAGGACAGAGTACCAACACCAACAAGAACACAAGCACCAACCCCAACACCAGAATGTTATCGACGTCACCATTGGTACCGTCAGAGCATCCCCGAGTTCGACTGGAGCATTTAGATCAACGTCATATATTGAAGCAAACATTGAGTACGAGCACCCTCGAGTGCTTCCAAAGCATTCGTGGGTGCTCTCGGAAGCGTGATAAGCTCAAGAAAAAAGCTGATCGTACTCGGTATAAGAGCACTCCTCCCTTCCTTCAAGTACATAAGAAGTTCCTAACCACCTTCAAGTTCTCCTCTACCTATCACTTCAAGTTTTCCATTGCTTTCAACATTACCTGTTGAAATCTCATCCTTCAAGTTCCTCCGTTTTCAAGCGATTTAACCTTTGCAATCTTTATAAATAAGATGGTATTTCTCTCTCCTAATCCAATTAATTTTAGAACCATACTTACCACAGGGATACATTAACATTATCAGACTCCAAACACCGCTCAGAGCACTCCCGGTAGCTCACAGAACACAAATCAACTTCCCAATAAGAAGCGCTTGCGTGACATAGATGAAGATGATAACGAAAAGACCCACCGAAAAACCAAGAAACACAAATCGTCCCGAAAACATAAGAAACACCGAACTTCCTCAGGTCGCAAATCGTCCCACAAAACTGTCAAGCCTATCCCGGAGAAGATACCAGAAACACCCCCTAAGCAGTCGCCAGTGCTTTCCGGGTTCACCCCGATCAACAAGAGCTGAAAACAAAACCCTGTACCTCCACCAATCCGGACTGAAACTCGGACTCCGCCAAATACTAACCTAGCTCCATCGGACACTGAAGGGATCTTCCCGAGTAACTGGGGAGCAATCCTAACTGATTCCGACTCCTTTCCCGACTTTAGTTCCGAACCCTCTGAACCATACATAAGTGACGGTCAAGACCCAGCAACAGGCCCAGCAACAGGCCCACTAGCAGCAGTCTCCACTGCTTCCTCAGCACGCAGCAGTGCTTCATCAGAGGCCCTTGTACGGACGACCGTACTTAGGGTTAGTGCTACCCCACCAGCACCTGCTAGTGCTCCACAAAAGAACTTTGCCCGGAAGACCATAGTCCCAAGTCAAGTTCTCACTCAGTCCAAGTCTAGTGCAGTCCGCTCAACAGGCCCAGCAACAGGCCGCTTGACAGGCCCAGCAGGCTCTACTACTCCCTCATCAGCACCCGTCAGTGCTCCACCGAAGGTTCTTGCACCGGAGACCCCTACATTCAAGCCCCGATGCCCCTCTCGGTTATTTTCTAGTGCAAGCCCGTCCGAACTAATAGATCACCTCTCACCAGTACGACAGAGACGAATTAGACCCGAGCCATCGCCGATTGTCCGAGACATCCCCGAGTGTTCAAGAGACATCCCCGAGGATTCAAGAGACATCCCCGAGCTCGACCGCATTCAAGATGATTCAAGCAAGCAAAGCGAAGATGACTTTAGGTCTACTCAACCTACCTAAAGTGTACACCAGCATCCGCAACAACCTAAAGGCGGAATGCAAAATGTAGGTTGGGTCAATAAAAACACCTCCGGATTGGTCGCGTTTAATGCCCTATGCCTTTACTTAATGAACCTGCCCTCCCTCAACGGTTTTCTGCCAATTTGGAATGGGGGTAAATCTGATGCCCGTAGAGCACTGGCGAGTGCTCTACAGTGGCTCATCGCGGATGTTGGCATGAAGGATAAGTTATCAAGAGGACAGGGAGACCGTCAGTTCAAAGAGGCTGCCGGTGATAGTGATGATGATAATGACGGCGGTGGTCAGGCAGCCGGAAGACGCTCTCGCAAAGGGAAAGAGCGTGCAGTACCTCCGGAACTTGTACGACCTTCCATAATGGTTACCGTGGTGGACCCCGATGCTCTAGGGGCATTCTTTATGCTCGTCCCACCACCTACTTATGACTGGAATGATCCCCTGAACGAACCTTCCTTCATCGGAATCTTGACCAAGATAACTTTCCCAGAGCTATGCAACTTGATCCTGAAGCAGACCGCACCCGGCAGAGCAGTCAGGACTATCTGGGGGGCAATTGAGAATGTCTCCCCAGCAGCTGTTCCTCCCGTTCAGCCGGTGGAGGTACAAATTACCGATTCAGAGGAGCTCGAAGGTTGGTTGAAGAAGAGCAATGCCAGGCCTTGGGGGATATTGGCAGTCCTCCACAGAGCAGGCGCGGGTGCTTACCTGGGTGGTACGGAATCCCCCCCGTTGAACCCGGCTTTCCCTCACGTTGAGGAAGATGATCATAGCATGATCGATATTCCTGCAGAGGATTCGGATTACGAGGAGGGAAAGCACCAGATAAATTCCAAAGGACTGAGGGTATATATGCCTAGAACTGATGCCAGTAATCAAAGGCTAATTTAGACTCTTGTTAGGCGTCGCGATAGACAGCAGGATGCTATCGACGATTTAGACCCCAAATACCTTAGGAAGTATCCTTTGGGTGTCGGGGTTGCTGACCCAAACTTCTTACAGTGGACGATTTGGACACCTACCGGGATTGCAGCCAAGAGAGCTGCTGACGCACTCGCGGCTGCTGGTGGTGGCGGCGGTGGTGGTGATGGTGGTGGTGGTGGTGGTGGTGGTGGTGGTGGTGGTGGTGGTGGTCTAGGACCTCCACCGCCTCCGGGCGGACCTCCTCCTCCTCCGGGTGGCGGTGGTGGTGGAGGACCAGCTGGAGGCGGTGGTGGTGGTGGTGGTGGGCCAGCTGGAGGCGGTGGTGATGGTGTTGGTGGTGATGGTGGTGATGGTGGTGGGCATCATTAGTTCCCTTTGGTATAATCTCTAACTTCCCTTCCTGCGGAATTGTCACTAACCTTTTCATAGTTGTTAGGATTACTCCCTGAGCACTTGCGATAGCTACTGAGGTGCGGTACGATTTGGTGTTTTGGATTTCCCTTTGTCTTGCGAGAGTATATCAATGGATGGGTTATATCGGATAGGATTAGATTAGATTAGATTAGATTAGATTATTCCAGGTAGTAATTGCATTGTTTTTATTTCAAAGTCGAATCAAACTCCTAGATCGCTCTCAGAGCAGTCGGTACCGCTTCAGAAAGTGCAGTAAAACGAGTGATGATAAATGATGCGGTTGAGTGCAGAAACTGTGGTAACATAGGATGATCCCTGCTGTAAGAGGATTAGCGGTGCAAATTTTTCTTGATTAGCAGCGCAAATTTTCTCGCCAAGAATTGATTTCTAATCGAAGATATCGCGAGTGCTCCTAGAGCACTGTGGATATTCCTGCCAGTCATCAGAATGGCTCCCACCAAGCGCTCCTCCGGTTCAGCACCTCTTGCCCTAAAGCGCCCACGACTCTCAAAACGACCTAAAGAACATGAAGATTCACTGACTGACGAGTCTGGAATATCTTACCGAACATTGACTCCACTGCCAGCCCCCACTCGGAGTAGTCAATCGACCACCGCCGCTCAAATAACTCGGACAGGTATTCTCTGTTCCTCCGAAACCCCCACTGGGAGGAGCAGTCCTAGGAGGGTAGAATTTCATCTCCCCGAGGATCATACTGATGATTTTGAAGCGCAGGAGGAGCCTGAGGCAATTGAGGCGCCAGAGGTGGAAGAAATAGTTGATACTAGCCACTCCGACTATGATGATGCTCCGGAGAATGACTACGAGAGCTCTGAGGAGGATGAGGATGAACCGGAGGATGAACCTCAAGCCCCCCCCCCATCTTACACCCAGAAGTCTCAGACTGTCGGAGAGAGACCTCATACAGTTCAGCCGACTACTGCCAGAGCACTGGGCAATGCTCGGAGGAAACCAACTGCCGCGGTAGCAGAGGTTATTGCTTCTTCCAACGTGTCGGTGGACGTGGTACAGGTTCGACTCTATCTCGCTCATTGATGCTTTTTAACATGTAAGTATTAGTGGCTAACGATTCAGAGGGGAACTCGACCGGGCGCAAAAGTAATACGTAAACAAGGTCAAGGGAGAGCAGCACCCACTTCAGCATCCAGCCAGAATGCATCCCAGAGAGCACTCCCGGCATCCCAGAGAGCACCCCCAATACCCTCACAGTCTAGGCCCTCTGCATCTGTTTATGCTCATGAGTATACCTCTTCTACGCGCCATATCGATTTTTCCCCGATGCGCTCTCGATATGGGGAGTCGTCCCCCACTTACCGGACATATTGTTCTTCACTGCCTAGCGAGGTAATTGGCGAGAACTCTGTGAGCAGTCGTCAGATTCCTTCAAGCCAACTTCACGGTCAAGGTAGATCGTGAAGTGTTACGAACCACACCCACCACACAAGGAGGAACGAGCCATCGCGGAATTCTGGAAGGTTCTCTTGGTATTAGTCATCGCTAGTCTGTTTTCCTTGTATATAGGGGTCTCTCACCCCGCTTAGCTTTACCTTTCCTTTCTTCTCTACGCAACATCTTGTACTATACTTTGGGTTATTACTTTGGGGGATTTACTTCGCTTCAATACAAACTTTACTTCAAAGCCACGTTACGTCTGCTGTTCATCATGCTCTTTGCATCCGCCGTCGCTGTCCTCACGATGCTCGTGACCTTCGCGCTGTTTCCCTCGGCTAATCCGCGACCGCTATCCTCCCTGTCCTCGTACAGGCCTCGGCCCCTGTCCTAGTACAGACCCTCCTCCCTGTCTTCGTGCAGGCCGCTGAACCATTCCTCGTCTCAGTACGAGCCTTTGTCGCTCCCTCTTCTCGGAGCCCCCTGATGTCCCTCGACCCCGTAGCTATACCCTCGCCCATGGTTCTTTACACTATGTTGCGTCGTCTATGGTCGTCCGACATCCGCCGACACATCTCGCTTAAGCGACCCACACCACTCTCCCTCCTCACGGAGGCCACCTCCTACGCCTCCATCTTCCCATTAGCCTGGACCTCGGCCTACCTCCTGGGTAGACTGATCCGACAGACTACGAAGGAACCATCTGCCGACCCCACACCACAACCATCGCCGCCTCGCCGTACACGCCGCCTACAACGCCGCCTCCTCCGCTGCTCCATACCATTCGGACAACCCACAGGGAATGACCCCGGGTGGTGTTTCCTGACACTGGCCCCTGCACCATTCCGACCCTACCTTATCGGCTTAGGGCCCTACCCTTCACCGGTTAAAGTCCTCAACACTCTCCGTCAACTAGGGTCCCTCATACTCCCCGCACGCATCACCCTCCACCATGGCACCGCTCACGTCCATAACGCCCCGGGCACCCACACCTCCCGACGCCTGATGCTAGCCCGCCGGGTGGGGCCCCACTCAAAATAGGGCAACTGCACCACCCTGGTGACTGCAAACCCTTCGAGATACCCATACGACTAACCCGAGACCGAGTCAAACTCCGCGCGTTGGTAGATACGGGCGCCACTGGGTATGGATTCATCGACGCCTCCTTTGCGGCCTCCCGGGGCTACCTCACGGAAAGCCTCCCCACTCCTCGACATCTGCAGGTAATCGACGGCAGACCCATCGCCTCCGGAGCCATCACCCAGATATGCAAACTCCGCCTGGAAATAGACGCCCACGTGGAGGGGATTTCCCTCTTCGTCACTCAGCTAGGGGACACCAAGGTAGTACTCGGCCTCCCCTGGCTCCAACATCACGCTGCACGGGTCAACTTCGCTAACCGCCACATCACCTTCCACGCCGACCGCTGCCAACAACACACTGCCGACTCCTGGGCCACCACCCTCGCCTCTAAGCCCCTCATCGCCTCTGCCACGAGGGCCTACGACCGCACCTTGCCCCCCGGTTTCCAACGCCTCGCGCCACCACCCGTTCCCCTTCCGCTCCGCGCCTCTTCCCCGCCACCACCCATTCCTCCAAGAATGACCACCGGTCCTCCTCCAATACCTCCGAGACCTACAGCCCCACGTCGCACCATCACTATCTCCGCCGCCCGCTTCCACCGAGAGCTCCAACAACAGGAGAACCAACTCTTTCTCCTAGCCGCTCGCCCGACCACTCCCGACAAACCACGCGCTACCCCCGCTGAGGAACTGGTCCCCACGACCTATCATCGATACCTCGACCTATTCCAAGAATCGAAAGCACAAGGACTCCCCGCTCACCGGTACATCGACCATGAGATCCCAGTCTTAGACGGAAAACAACCCCCCTTCGGTCCCCTTTATGGCATGTCAGCCCAGGAACTAAAAACCCTCCGTGAATACCTCGATGACCAACTGGCCCGAGGTTACATCCGTTCCTCCTCGTCCCCAGCCGGCGCCCCGGTCCTATTCATCAAAAAGAAGGACGGCTCCTTACGACTATGCGTGGACTATCGGGCCCTCAATGCCATCACGGTCAAAAACAGGTACCCCCTGCCCTTGATCAACGACACGTTAGACCGGCTTAAGGACGCCAAAATCTATACCAAACTGGACCTACGCAATGGTTACAACCAGATACGGATCAAGGAGGGGGAGGAATGGAAGACGGCTTTCCGAACGCGATACGGGCTGTTCGAATACTTGGTCATGCCCTTCGGCCTCACAAACGCACCTGCCACCTTCCAGGCTTTCATGAACGACACCCTGCGGACCCACCTCGACGACTTTTGCACAGTATACCTCGACGACATCCTCATCTACTCTAACTCTGAGGAAGAACACTCGCGACATGTAACTACCGTCTTGGACAAGCTACAGGCAGCGGGACTACACTGCAAACCCGAAAAGTGTGAGTTCCATGTCAACCGTACGGAATACTTAGGGTACATCATCTCGGGCGAAGGGGTCACCATGGATCAGGGCAAGATCAAGGCGATATTGGAATGGCAGGCACCTACCTCGGTCCACGACATCCAGGTCTTTTTGGGATTCGCCAACTTCTATCGACGATTCATTAAGGACTACTCGAGAGTGGTCGCCCCGTTGACAACCCTGCTAAGGAAGGACACCAAGTTCGACTATACCCCAGCCGCCGACAAGGCTTTCAACGCTCTAAAGAAAGCTTTCACCACCGCACCGATACTCAGACACTTCGACCCCGCAAGAGCCTGTACCCTGAAAACCGATGCCTCCGACTTTGTTGCAGCCGCCGTACTCTCCCAGGAGGATAACCAAAGGATTCTACACCCAGTGGCCTTCTACTCGCATAAGATGACGCCCGCCGAATGCAACTACGAGATCTACGACAAGGAACTACTTGCGATAGTACGGGCCTTTGAGGAATGGCGAAAATACCTGGAGCCTAGCAATGAGGAGATCGTGGTCTACTGCGACCATAAAAACCTGGAGTACTTCATGTCCACAAAGCTCCTCAACCGTCGCCAAGCACGCTGGGCTCTCACCCTGTCCTCCTTCAACTTTGTAGTCACCTACCGCCCGGGCGCAAAAAATGGGAAACCTGATGCCCTCACACGTCGATCTGGAGATCTCCCTAAAGAGGGGGATGAAAGACTTGCACAACAGCATCAGGTTATACTCAAACCGAAGAACCTCCGCCTCGCCGCCGCACTACAAGCTCTCAAGATCGCCGCTGTATCCCTTAACCGCCACGACGAACTCCGCGCAGCACTAAGGAAGGATCCCCTCTCCAGACAACTGATGAAGGACATCGCCAACAAGAAAAAGCACTCCCGTTTCCTACCAATAGGCGAGTGTTCAATCAGGGATGGACTGTTGTACTATCAGGGCCTGATCTATATCCCTGACGATGCCGCTATCAAACTGGAAGTCCTCCGCACTAACCATGACGCCCCTTCGGCTGGACACCCCGGACGCGCCCGCACACTGGAACTCCTCTCACGCAATTACTACTGGCCACAAATGCGGAAGTACGTCGCCCGCTATGTAGACCACTGCGACACTTGCTCTCGGATCAAACCAGTCCGACACGCCCCTTATGGCCTCCTCAAACCCCTCACACCACCCACAAAGCCTTGGTCATCGCTGTCCATGGATCATGTTACTGGCCTCCCGGAGTCCCAGGGATCCAACGCTATCCTCGTAGTGGTCGACCGACTGACCAAAATGGCCCACTACATCCCCACCAGAGACACGGCGGACGCGGCCGAACTGGCCCGCCTGTTCCTACAACACGTCTGGACATCCCATGGCCTACCCAAGGATATAGTGTCCGACAGGGGTACCACCTTCACGTCGCAGTTCTGGAGGACGCTGTGCAACCAACTGGACATCAAACCTCGGTTCAGTACCGCCTTCCACCCTCAAACCGATGGACAGACCGAAAGGGTGAACGCCATAATGGAGCAATACCTACGGGGCTATGTCAACTATCAACAGGATAACTGGTCGGAGTTCCTTCCCCTCGCAGAGTTCGCGCACAACAATGCCACCACGGAACCACTGGGGGTCAGCCCCTTCTTCGCGAACTATGGATACAACCCTCAGCTGGACACCCTCCCCTCAGAAGAAAGGCACGAATCTACACCCAAGGAAGTGGTCGATTTCGCCAACTCGATCTCCACCCTGCAAGCCGCGTTAAGATCTGAGATACTGTACGCCCAAGCCGCCGCCACCGATAGCGCTAATGCGGCCCGACTCCCAGAACCCCATCTCGAAGTAGGGGACATGGTATGGTTATCCCGGAAGCATATACGCACCACTAGACCCTCGGACAAATTGGACCACAAACGACTGGGAAAATTTAGGATCCTCGAACGCATTGGGTCCCACGCCTACCGATTGGAACTCCCCGCGTCCATGAAGTCCCATCCCGTCTTCCATGTGTCCTCGCTAGAGCCGGCTCGAAGGCACCCACTTCCTGGCCATATACAACCGCCACCGCCACCAGTGATCGTCGAGGGAGAAGAGGAGTTCGAGGTACAGGAAGTGATGGATTCCCGGATACGCCGCAACCAGCTGCAATACCTGGTCAAGTGGACAGGATATGAGCAACCCACTTGGGAACCAGCCCGGAACCTCGACGCAGAATTAGGGTCGCTGCAACGCTTCCACTCGCTGTACCCCAGCAAGCCGTCCCGGGATGCCACGAAGCCCAAGGCACGGAAAGTATGAGTTTGTTAACGGTTTCTTTCTCATACGAAGCCGCCCTATCTTACGTCTCCCGCTTAGAATATTATGAGACCACATTACTAACCTCTCTCCCTGTTCGTTCTCCTACCTCGTCGCTCGCAGGAGCTCGCCCTCCCGGAGGGGGAGCTAAACTGTTACGAACCACACCCACCACACAAGGAGGAACGAGCCATCGCGGAATTCTGGAAGGTTCTCTTGGTATTAGTCATCGCTAGTCTGTTTTCCTTGTATATAGGGGTCTCTCACCCCGCTTAGCTTTACCTTTCCTTTCTTCTCTACGCAACATCTTGTACTATACTTTGGGTTATTACTTTGGGGGATTTACTTCGCTTCAATACAAACTTTACTTCAAAGCCACGTTACGTCTGCTGTTCATCATGCTCTTTGCATCCGCCGTCGCTGTCCTCACGATGCTCGTGACCTTCGCGCTGTTTCCCTCGGCTAATCCGCCGACCGCTATCCTCCCTGTCCTCGTACAGGCCTCGGCCCCTGTCCTAGTACAGACCCTCCTCCCTGTCTTCGTGCAGGCCGCTGAACCATTCCTCGTCTCAGTACGAGCCTTTGTCGCTCCCTCTTCTCGGAGCCCCCTGATGTCCCTCGACCCCGTAGCTATACCTTCGCCCATGGTTCTTTACAGGAAGAGTCTACGAAATCGAGTACCTTTCCTCATCTAGGTAGGAGGACGAGATTACTCCGATGCCGGAAAGCGAGGGTATTTTGATTCCGGGAAGCGAGGTTAGTATTCCGGAGGATACTCACGACATCTTTGAGAACACTGGCGACATTACTTCGAGCCAATTGACTCAGAGGTCTGTGGTCCCTAACTGTAGGAGTGCAAATGTGCTGTCAGTGCAGGCTCAGAGGATTGAGAAGGAGTGTAGCGTGTTAATCGGGAAGCATACTCTTCTACATGAGCCCTTTCCACCTGCAGCAAGACTTTTGGTACTGGTAGTGAGCATGTGGGCAACTGCTAGTCGCCGAGTGGGATGTAGAGTAGACCTTGATGAGGTCGTTATTAAACAGGTGAGTGCCCCCAAAAGGATTACGAGTGCTCTGGAAGCATAATTGAGAATGATAGGTCAGAAGTCTGTACTCCCGTGTCCGTTCCCACTTGATGCACGAGGTGAAAGGGCGCCTGGTGGACTCTACGATATACGGGCTTGGAGATTTTGTGGGGCCTGAGGCGAGGGCGGCTCAAGTGGAATACCTTTTGAAGAATGATCGTTTCTTGAGCCCCCAACAGCATTACGAGGTATGATGCCAGTGGATGGCCAGAGAGCACTCGGGATAGCTGGTAATAGATTCTAGACCTACCGACTGAGCTTCTGGCTCCGGAAATTATCGATATATTGTAGTTTAAATACTTTAATGGGGTAAGAATGCGAGGGGTTAGTGATCCCGAATTTCTAGAGCGGATAACCCCTATCCTTATTTGCCTGATATCGACGGCGATCTGGAACGGCATTCGGGCGTGGTCACCAGGGAGTTACGTGAAGCCTGATAATTTTCAGTCGCAGAATGAGAGTGTTGTGAGTAAGTATGGCCCGATGCCCTCATTGTTATGGCGAGTCCCTTGGGAGCAATGACGGATGCTTCTAGGGCTATACGGGATTGCCAAGCTGACATCCAAACACGAGTAGAAACATTCAACAGGCTGAGCAACACTTGGAAGGGGAGAAGTAAACAGAACCAGGAGGCAATCTTGGAGGTAATCAAAGATAACCTTCGAGAAAAAGTATGATACTTCTAGATGCCGGTAATGCGAGTGGTATTCTAAATGCTAACCCTAATAGATACGAGATAAAAAAGGGGTAACGATTGAGATTATACCGGAGGAGGGTTTTAGCGAGGACGATGAAGCTCTGGCTGCAGATCTTGCCACATTCCGAGATGCTCGGAGAACATCCACGAGTGCTCCAGAAGGTCGAGTTGATTTCGACAGCACCCAGGACGAAGTGATTAATGCCCGACTTCGCGGCATTGACACCGAAGTGGACGGGGAGGAGGAAGAAGAAGAGCTGGAATTACCTGTAACGGGGTATTACGAAGGGTGGGGGGAGGAGGATTTGTAGAACAATCACGAGTGCTAAGGGAGATCGTGGGGGATTTCTTCTGATTCGTATATTGTATTAGGGTTAGTTAGGGTTTTAAATGGCGTATTGTATTTAGTATTAGGCGGAGGATCACGGTGTTGAAGACACCAATTCTCAAAGTGCAGTCGCGAGTGCTCTGGAGACAGTAGAGATCGTCGTGCGAGCGATGTTTTTGTAATCTCATGGGAGAATTGTGAATACCAGAGGCCGGAACGGCGGAAAGGTGTATGCCTAGAGAGAACGGGGCGCCGACATGTAGGAATCGGTACGTCGGGCATGAGCCAGATTTCAAAGCACCCCATCCGGCAACGTCAGGGGGAGTCAGGGCAATCATTCGATCCCCAAAGCCCGCTGGAGCAGTGAAGAGTGCTCCAGGTGCAGTCAGGATATCCAACCGTGCAGCCAGCGTTCTCTGACGGGTAAAGTGAGGTCCTAGTTACACCGGGCGCTAGTATTTAGTGTCGGGGCCCGTTGTGCGGACTAGTGTGCGCTGGGGCGGAATAATGTGCGCCAGACCTCGCCAGGAGCACTGGCGGTATCTCTGGAGAGATAGTTTACCTACCAAGCGACCTGAGCACCCTGAGCGCCCCGGGCATCTGGCGAAGGCTACAGGTTTGCTGATGAGGTGGATTGGATGCCGGTGGAACGTTATCCAGTGCTCCCCAGATACTCCTGATTGCTCTGCTGTGTGCGGTGTGCTTCAGGATCAAATTGCAGAGCTCTGGAAACGTTATCTTTGTCAGAATTCCAATGAACGAAGGCTCATTTTGTGGATAGTTCCAGTGATAGGTAGGAGGCGGGACAACGTTGAAGAATGCTCCTAGAGCATCGGGGTCTACCACTGTGACCATTATGGAAGGTCTATCGAGATCTGCAGACACTGGATCCCGTTTACGCTTCCTAGAGCGTTGGGCGGGCTGTCCACCGTCGTCATCATCATCACTATCGCCGGCAGCTTCTCTGTACTCGCGATTTCCCTGCCCTCTCGATAGCTTTTCCTTCTGTCCAACATCACCAATCAGCCACTTCAAAGCATCCGCGAGTACTCTACGGGCTTCGGAATCGACTCCTGTCCAAATAGGCAGGAAAGCGCGGAGCGAGCATTAAGTTCATCACATACAGGCATAGAGCATCGAACGCTGCTGCCCCAGGGAACGCTTTTATTAACCCAACCGACGTTCTGCATCTGCGCTTTGAGGCTGTTGCGGATGTTAGTGTACACTTTAGGTAGGTTGAGCAAACCTAAAGTCATTTTTGCTTTATTCGCCTGAGTCATTCTGAATTGACCTTGAGCGGTGGGAGATGCTTCCGAAGCACTCGTGTATGCTACCTGAACACTCAGGGTGTTTCTGGGGCACGGGCTCTGCTGCTTCATCTCTGCTCTACCGGTGGAGGAGTGTCTAATGCTCTGGAGGGGCCAGCAACTGAACTCTGTATTGGTAGCCGGCGAGGGGGTCGGGTTTGGTGTCTTTGGTGCTCTCTGTGAAGCACTGACGGTTGCTGTTGGAGCAGTGGAACGAACTGGAAGCACGGCTCTATGGACAGGGGCTGGTGGTGGTGGCGGTGAGCTGCCGAGTTCTGGGGAATCACTGGGGACTCGTAAAAGTGCCCGTCTGCTTCTTCTTCAGGGTGCCGGGCTTGCTGCCGGGCTTGCTGCTGGGCCTGCTGGGCCTGCTGCTGGGTGTGCTGCTTGGCGCTTTGCTGAGTGTGTTGCTGGGCCTGCTGCTGAGCATTCGCCGTTGGAGTCAGAATCAGATTGCAATGATATCCACTGCTTCGGTAAGAGTCCTTCAGCGTTTTTAGGGCTCTGGCTGAGGGGGGCAACGCTAGGAGGCGCTTGCGAGTAATGAGGGGGAGGTGGTGGGCGCTGCGGAGGAGGTGCTTGATGCTGTACTGAAGGCACTGCCGGGCGCTGTGAGGACGGTGGTGGGAGCTGCGGAGGAGGGTGGCGGGAGTTCGGGGGAGGTGGTGTGAGCTGCGGGGGACTTGAAAGCACTGGCGAGTGCTCCGAGGATGTCTCTGCTATCTCTTCCGGGATAGCCTTTAGAGTTTTCCGCGACTTTCGACGTGAGGAACGGGAAGATCTATGCTTCTTGTGTTTTCGGCGGAGCGTTTGTAGCTACTACTGCTACTGCTGCGACTACTGCCACTATTATCAGTACTGGATTCGTCTGAATCTTGATCTCGATGGCGCCTCTTTCGACTTTTGTGAGGTTTTTCGGTATTCTGTGAGCGCTTGGGAGTGCTCTGAGAGGAGTTTGGAGTCTATTGTAAATCTGTGATGAATATGGTTCAGAAAGCAATCGGGTTAAGGAAGATATACCATCTTATATATGATTGCAAAGTGTATAGCTTGAAAGCTTGAACTTGAAACGAAACTTGAAAGCTTGAACTTGAAACGAGACTTGAATGCGCTTTCAAGAGGTAATCTTGAAGCTTAGATACCAGAGCGCTTGAAGTGATAGGTATTGCTGGACTTGAAATTCAAGATGTTAGGAATATCTCATGAACTGGAAGGAGGAGAAGGGTGCTCTTATACCGAGTACAATCAGCTTTACCAGGCTCATCATCGTTCTTCCTGGAGCACCACCATATGCTATATAAGCATTTGAGATTGCTATAGAAGCACTCGAGGGTGCTGTACGAGCACCCTCGGGTGCTCCTACCGTGCTGAATGTTTGCTCCCACACATGACGTAGATGAATGCTCTAGGCGTACTCGAAAATGCTATGGTGGTTTGATTCAATTTGAAAATGGCTAGATGAATGCTCTAGGCGTACTCGAGGATGCTCTGATGGTAGCATCGATAGTGTGTCGGCAGCATTCCGGTGTGGGTTGGTGTTTGTGTTTCTTGTTGGTATCGGTGCTCTGTGCGCTAGGAAGCTGAGTCGGAGAGAATCTATCCTTTGAGATTGTAGTCGATATTGGTGTTGAATTTGGTGCTGAGAATAGTCTCTCGATCTGAATAGCATCCGCGAGTGCTCACAGAGAGTGTGCGAGTGCTCAGAGGGTAGAACATGGCATCGCTGTCGGCGTGATTGTGGTGATTGTTGTTTCTTCCTGTTGTATTTGTGTTGGGGTTTGTGTTTGCATTATTCGGTTGGAGATGTATGACGTGAAAATCTGCCTCGCTATGGTGGAGGTGCGAGCGCAAGGCTCACAATCATTTGGCGAGCGCTTTGGCGAGCACTCCGCATGGGGTGACAAATCGCTTGTAGAGCACTCTGCACAACCGCTTGGCAGCGAGAGCCTCATGTGGTGACTAATTGCTATTAGAGCACTCTGCACCACCTGCAGGAAAGAGCCTCCTCAGCCTTGGCAGACTGCAAATTCTCGAATTCAATGAAATCGTCTTGCCCTTTTTGCAGCAAGAAGTACAGCTCCTCCGCCAACTTTGACAGACATCTTCGAACGATCCATCCTCTGGAAGCAGATGAATGGTTGGGAAACCAATATTCGCTCCTGGAGCACGATCAACCTGCGGAGACTCCCGACTACACTGATGAAAGCCCAGAGAGCATTCCCGACTGCTATTCAGACACGCATTACGCTTCGGAGTCGGATAGTTTTGACCAAGTTTCTGGTAACAATTCGGACATAGAATCTGAATCATATTTCGTGATGGAAGAGGCAGACGGCGATTTAAATGGACATAAGGCATCTACAACAGTTTATGAGGGTGCTGGGGAACCACTTTACCGCTTGTAGGACTACGACGAATACTGACAGAGCCTTCTCCGATACCCATAGCACCCATTCAGGTCAGCATACGAGTTCAGAATGGCAAGGTATTTCGTACTGTCCAAAACCTTCCAGGGAAACATCGACAGCTTCTTTCTACACGCTCCGCCAAGCAGTGACGAGTGCTCCTCCAGCACTGGGCGAGGTTGTATCAAGAGGCTGGAGGAAATGAAGGACATATTGGGAAAGTCGAGCTGGAATCATTCGGAGGTGGATATTGGGGGGGAGAAGATCTCTTACTACTACCGGGATCCAATGGTAGTCGTCCGATATCTTTTGGGGCAACGTGCCTTCCGGGAGTCATTGGTGTACTCGCCGGTAGTGGAGCATAATGAATTTGGCTAGCGATTGTACGGGGAAATGCATACAGGAGATTGATGGTGGGAGATACAGGTCCATAGGCTTCGCCCTCTCAACTTGAAATCCGAGTACTA